AATAAAATAGGATCCTAGTGGCAGCTGAAAGACTTACAAAATTTATTCTAGCATAAGTTTTCTTGAGTCAAGCATGGCTCACTTCCTCAGATGCACTGGAGTATAAATCAACCAGTCGGTTTTATATACACCACATTAAAGGGAGTGGGGAGATGTTATAAAAGGAGATCACCATTTCAAAACAAGATCCATCCTTGGGATCAATTTACTCCGAATAGATGTGCCACTCTCTCAAACTGTTAGATAACTAAAATGTCACATCTGGAGCAGAATGGAAACGATATAAACCGAGAGAATAGGAAGTTGCAAAGGGAGCAGAGTTGAAGTCATCCACATCTGGGGGGGACAGGACGGGATATCCTGTGTGATGTAGTGGTTAGAGTGCAGGACCATCCCTGCTGGTGCTATGGAAGCTCGCTGAATGACCTTGGGCCAATCACACTCTTTCTCAGCTTTACCTACCTCACAGAGTTGTTGTGAGGATAAAATGGAGAAGTGAATGATGTAAGGCTGCTTTAGGGTCCTCCTTGGGGAGAAAAGTAGAGTATAAATTAAAACATACACACACATATATATATATTAGAGCCCACAGTACGTTAAGAATTCCACGTCCCTTTTAAGCCAGGAGGTCAGGGTCATTATTTCGGACTTGGTACTGAATTCCCATCCAGTCATTTATCCCAGCCTCTTTTTCCGGGATAAGGCTGTTGGGAAGCAGTTTGCGCACGCGCACACGGAGGGGAAGAGGCGGGGCGGGATGGTTGAGCGTGCCCAGGACGTTAGTCTACGTCACTGCGCGTCTGCGGCTTGTTTTCCCTTCCCGGCAGCCATCTTGACTCCTCTCGCGTGTGTGCGCTGAGCTCCCCGCTTCCCTCCGCGGCCTCCGGCTCCTAGGCTCGCCCAGACCGGGCCACTTCCTTCCGAGAAGGTACATCCTCCTCCCCCCCTCCCCCGGGCAGGCGGGTGCTGGCTGGGTAGAAGACTCGGAGGGCCTGACGGGGGAGGAGAGGCCGCGGCTTCAGCGCAGAGCGAGTCTCCGAGTTTGGTGCTGGAACCCGGGCGAGGTTTCCCCGCTCTCGCTTAGGCCTTGCGCAGCACCCCCGCCGCTTCCCTGGCTGGGTCTGTGTTGAGCAGGGAGCTTCCTCGCGATCTGCAGTCCCCTGTGGCCTGGGCGGGCCTGGTCTGGGTTGCCCTGCGAGTTGTTCGGGCCTCCGGGAAGCGTTGAGGCACCGCCCAGATACCAGCCTAACTATCCTTCCCGTGTTGTTTCTCGCCTTTAGATGAAAGAAACGATCATGAATCAAGAAAAGCTAGCTAAGCTCCAAGCACAAGTGCGCATCGGAGGAAAGGTAAAAGTGGCGGTTCTCCGGTCCTCGCCCCGCATGTTGTTTTGTGCAATCCCTTTAATGTTTTTTAATAACCCCAAAGGAGCTCCGGGGATGTACCTCACTCTTCTCTTCTTAAATTCTATGCTTACAACAGCCCAGTGAAATAGGTTAGGTGGAATGTGACTGGCCCAAAGTCACTCAGTCTTTTTGATAATTGAATCTGGATTTCTCAGATATTAACTGATCGATACACACTTTAACCCCAAAGGAGCTCCGGGGATGTACCTCACTCTTCTCTTCTTAAATTCTATGCTTACAACAGCCCAGTGAAATAGGTTAGGTGGAATGTGACTGGCCCAAAGTCACTCAGTCTTTTTGATAATTGAATCTGGATTTCTCAGATATTAACTGATCGATACACACTGTCTCTTTCGTTCTCCGGAGATGTTTCCACATTGCTTGGCTTCTGCAACCTTAAGCTCTTTTGTCTTTTTACTTTTTGGGAACTTGCGTTCTGCAGAAGCTCTTAATGATTCTTACTGAGTTTGTGGTGAGTGGTTTGGTAAGTCTGAATTGTGTATGCAGCACATAGCGAGGAAGGGTATTATATTGGATAGCGTGTCTGACTTGGTCAGAAAATCTAGGTTCCAATCCTTGAACAGCCAGATTTGACCTCTGGCTGGTTATTGTTTCTCAGCCCTCTCATCGTCTGTGTTCCTTGACTTCTTACCCACCCATAGAGATTTGTATGAGATTTGTAAAAAGCAGGTTAATTGCTTTGCTAAACACAAAACTCCTATGTACGTGTCCTTTTTAAGAGCTGATGGGATCCAGTAATGCCTGAATCAGCATGAGGAATGCAGTTTTATGTATTTAAATATTAATATGGCTTGGTAAAAGGTTGGCTAATCAAGATGCCTTAATGGGCTTTGGTATTATATTATAGTCTCTTTAGTTTTACAAAGATAGGTTTCTTGTATTTAGTGACTCTGCCTTTAGTAAAATCCCTAGTAGTGTAAGGGAATAATCTTACATTTTGTTAGAATAAAAACCAGTGAACTTGCTGTGATGTGCTTTTTGCCCAGCCTCATTTTTACTTATAAATATTTCAAAAGTAGTATCTAAACTTGGCTGTTGAATTTGTGTATGTTGTATGATAAAGTTATTAGATTCTTGGTTTTGAATGTAGATTAAGCTTAAAGCTGTCACCACATACAGATTGCAAACAACACATATCTTTAATCAAGGTGAGGTTAGCAGAATTTCAGGTCTGAGCCTGATAAAGGCAGTACTTTAAAACTTGAAACCTATAATTTTCCATTATGCAAACTGTTTACAAAGTGGCTGATATTGATTTGAAATAAAGCAAGTCTAGCTTTGACATAAAAGCAGGTTGCTCCTGAGAGTCTCAGAATACATGTAAATGATCATCAGCTTATAAGATCCACCTTTAAAAATAAAACTTTTATATGACAGGTTTTTCATGTTTGATGAGCTACTTTTTGCAAAGATGCAGTTCAGTCTTAAGGCTTGCTTAGCCAGCAAATTAATTGTTAGAACACGTGTACTGATTGTGTTGACAGAAGAATTAGCAAGCAGTACTAGTAATCGCAGGGAAAATGGGCACAGACAAATGTTTAGGCATTGAGAGCATTGCTTCCATAAAGCATCTACTTTCAATTTATGGAATGCTCCTGTTAAAAGCAGTATCACATGACATTCATTTGTTCCTGATTTAGACCATTATTTGACCAGAACAAAGTAGATAAAATAGCATTCCTGGTCCTGTTGATAGGGTGAGGGAGGGGAGAACTAAACCCAAAACCTTGATTTAATTTGGTTTGTATCTTTTATTTCACTTTGTCTTTTGGTTATTCATGACTTGTCATCTTGCATGTTTTTGATTGTTTTAAAAAGCTTTTGTGTTAATGCTTATCGTTATTTATTATAACCCTAGACTGTGTGAGTCTGTGTACCAGCTGTGAAAGACCCACCCGGATAGATGGCTACATTTAATTGTTGCTATTTTCTTTGTGAAGAATTTTTAAAATAGCTATAGCAAAAATAGGTCTGTACTGCTCACCATTGTGATACTTGAAAGTTTTTTGTCCTCATGCAATCCATATAGCTTAAAGAAGATTGGAACAGTGTACTTCGGTAACTACTACAGTGTTCTGTTTCCATAGGGTACTGCTCGCAGAAAGAAGAAGGTTGTCCATAGAACAGCTACTGCAGATGATAAGAAACTTCAGTTTTCCTTAAAGAAGCTAGGAGTAAACAATATTTCTGGCATTGAAGAGGTACCTTATGGTTTCTTACCTTCCTCCCCAAACACTCTCATATGATGAGCTTTTTGCAACTACTGACTGTATTAAATTGAATTTCAATAGAAAGTTTGCTGTTGATATGAAACTCACCATACCTTTTGTAAAGGTTGATTATCAAATAGCTCTGGTTTGTTTTGCAGGTAAATATGTTCACCAATCAAGGAACAGTTATCCATTTCAACAACCCAAAAGTTCAGGCATCTTTGGCTGCTAATACTTTCACAATCACAGGCCATGCTGAGACAAAGCAGCTCACTGAAATGCTTCCTAGTATCTTAAACCAGCTTGGAGCTGACAGTCTGACTAGCTTGAGGAGACTAGCAGAGGCTCTACCCAAACAACGTAAGTAGATTTTACACTAATTTGGAATGGAAATAATCCTGGCATCTCTTGGGTGTAGTTGTCAAATGCCAGTTGAAACAAAAATTGTGGTAGTGCCACTGGATAATATTTGGCGTGTGGAATGAAGATCTACAACTGGCCAATCACAGATGGACCTCCAATGCGTTTAGATTTATGTAGTGCATTGTTTGGGGTGGCTAAGGATAATGGGGCTTAGTTTATAGAATTTATAGCTTTTTAGTTATCTCTCTTAAGGCCAGTAAGTATTAATGTATTTTAAGCTGTTTTATTAATATCATTAAAATCAACAAACAACAATTAAACTGCATTCCAATAATGGGTAATGAAGCTTCTTACAGAAGTGAGAGCAGAAGATTACATCCAAAATACTACTTAAGGTGGCAGTATATTTACTTTTATAACCTAATAAAACTTTGCAAGAGCCATGTTTCATACCTCTTGTTGGTGTATTCTAGAGGTGGTTTTATGGTGATTTCTTTGTGATTACAGCTGTTGATGGAAAAGCACCTCTTGCTACTGGTGAGGATGATGATGATGAAGTCCCAGGTAAGAAGAGTTCACTTAATTTTCTGTCTTTCATAATGTGGAATTGCCAGAAACTAAATGAAACAAATCTTTAAAACAAAAGGCAAGCTTTACAATGGAACAGGGACTGTCTTGTAGAACTATCATTACTGGTGGTGAAGGATTTATTACTCTCTCTCTACTTAGTGTGGTAATATATTTGGGGAAATGCTTCTGTTTGTGGAATGGCACAGCTCTAATGAAAGGAAGGGAGGAGGGCCCCTGTTGACTGGTAAAAAGGCGTCACCACAGGATTGTGGTAGCCACATAGACAAAAGCCATGAAGGAGAGGGGCATTGGTTGACATAGGTTGGAGAAGCTGTAAGATCCAACTCCCCTTAATGTTACGGATCTTGTTTGATAATATGGTGTTTAACACAGGTGTGATGACCTTTTTTCACTTAGAGTGCCCACCACTCTCCACAGGTTCAGGGTTATAGGTCGGTTAGGCTGTCACATGTCACTACCCATCTTGCCTCTTTTAAAATATAGAGAGAGCCATGAACATTTCATATCCCAGGTCCGCTTTCTCACTCAGAGACCCTGCCAGACAGGATAGTACGGTCTGCTTTAATAATCACCCCTCACTCAGACACATTGGGGTTTGGGACTCAAAACACTCATTCATTTGCACACTGGCACCATTTATTTATATCCTAACATGTATTTAAATTTAGGCTAAGATATTAGGTTGTGTGTGTTTCCTTCCCTGAAACAACCAGCCCACAGGGTTAAACAAACAAGGAGTTAACTTTTATTTCAGGTTTGAACATAATATTGGATTAGATCAGGTAGAGGTTACAAAGTTTCTTTTCAGTTGAACTTTTGAACTGTTCTATTGTAGCATTTGGGATCCTTCCTTACAAGTTAACCCTTTTTAGACAGCTTTAAACTGTTCTTCCTCACAGCTTCACTGAGCCAGATTCCATCCAAACTCAACTGATTGCTGTTCTCACCTGTCTCCTTTACAAACATTGTCAGCTTCCATTGGCTGCTCTTAGGGAGAGACGGAACCTAACTTATCTGTCAGAACTGGGTACAGTAAAAATATTAAAATAAGTGGGCCAAAGCCCACCCTAACTACTGGGCAGTTGGGATCTCCCTCCCGGGTGTTTGATGCCAGGTAGTACCTTGCCAGTTCCCAAGCCCCCTCTCTGGCTTCAGGCCTAAGTTTGCCATGTCTAGGAGGGAAATGTAATGCCTCCATGGTTGCTAGGTGCAGTACTCCATTCATGGCTAAATAGCTATATTTGTTCTATATTGTAATATTTCTCCTGCTTTCTGGGCTGCATCAAAGTACTGCAGGAAGATAAAATGTCTGCAGCTCTTTGTCCATAATTTTGATGATTCACTGGTTTTAGGCTGGAAGTAGTAACAGTTTTACCCCTTACATTTAAAGGCCTCTTACCATGCTATCTTTTCCAGATCTTGTGGAGAACTTTGATGAGGCTTCGAAGAATGAAGCAAACTGAACTGCCACTTTTTTGGAAACTAAAACTTGAAAGTTACATGGAGCTGCTATTTTATATTGTGACTTTTATTTGTAACATTTTTGTACTGATCATAAGTCAAAGGTCTATAATATTCGGAAACCCCTCAAAATTGCAGCTCTCCTTGGTTATTGCTTAGCACACTAAGCATTTATTTGCGGCTGGATTGATGTGCACAAAATGGAAAAGTATTAAGTCAAAATGCTAATAAAAGTTAAATGTTTAGGCAAATACTTGTAGGTAGTATTTTGTAGATTGAAATATGGCTTTGAATAACTTATGACTACTTTTGTGGTAAACTAGATTCTTGGCTTCAGACCTCATCAAAATAAGTTGTTAGTCCAGAGTGTTATTCATTTTCCCAGTCATGCTTTCAAGGTTTATGTTCATTCCTGTCGAGTACATGATAACAAATACATATTTCTGCCAGTATGCTTAGTTAAGGTCTCAAGAAATTGGTTGATGGCATCTCAAATCTACTGCTGTTGCATGCAAATAGTTAATGGAAACTTTTAAAAAAAACAACGACCACCCTCAAGGTCAAATTTTGAGAAAAGATTGGTGTCCCAAGTGCCAATTCTAACACATGCCCTTCCCCTTACTTGTGTTCATGTGATCTATTAGCTTTCTTTTCTGTGACCTATAAATAACATACTGTGGGTACCATCAAGTCAAACACTTGTTCAGGAACAGAGAAATTAATATATATTCTGAGCAGTAACTGTCTCTTTTAAAGAGTTTAAAACAAAATGAAATACCAAATGAGTGAAAACCAAAACAAAGGAGGACTTTACCCCTGTGATGTAACATGTCAAGGTTCAAGTTTAATAATTTAAAAACATTTTATGTACACTATGTATATAGAATTACAACACTGAAAATAACATCTAAAAACATTTGTAGCTTTAACCATTCTAATGTTATAGCACATCTGAAGCAGAATATCTACAAAAGACCCTGCCCCCAGGAAGGGCAAGCAGTTCAGTAGTCTTCTCTGGGTAGTGAGGCTGGATGAATGAGAAACCTACCATATTTTTAATATTGCACCATTATCTTTCACATATGTTGAATTTATTACTAAAGTATGGATTTGCTCCTGCATTTATAGTAGAATAATTACAGTCTCCCTCAATAGGGCAGTTACGCTGCATCCTAGCATTCATACAATGGCAAAGCATGGTTTGCCATTACAGGAATAAACCTAAGGCATCCTTTGGTTCATGTGCTCTGTCCTTCCAAATTTGGCTAGTAAATACAGTGCTTCTGTATCAAATCATAGTTTGTGATTCAGGCAAAATTCTCCATCCTCTAAACCATATTAGATTGGCTATCAACACAGAACAAACCATGGTTGTGAATTGATTCACATTAAATGATAAACTGAGCTTTGCGAGGAGACTAGAGGGTGCTCACAAGTCTGAAGATGGGCCATGCTAATTTCTACACTTCAAATAAACTGGGGACTTTCCTTGCGAGTTGCGGTAATAAACTTTCCTCCCCCTGCTCTATTTCAAACTATTTGGTGGAAATGCAGTGATGGTACAATAAGGGCAGGTAGGTTTTCTGCCTTACCAATAGGAGCTGGCAAGGTCTCCGGGCATTCTTTTAAACTAAGTTTACATATTCCAGTGCTTCCTCTTATGCCAGACAAAATAAGATGTGATGCTACAGTGTGATTGACATCCCCCCATTCCTAAGATCCTATACAATATCACATTTCACTACATATTTACAAACAGGGTAAAGTTTGGCTTTACAAACATCTATGAATGAAGGACAGAAACAAAAGCAATCAGAAACATTTTCCTGAATGCAATTATCAAACGTTGCTATGTTGGCATCTGGCTTTCTGCCCAAAACATCATTGTGTTTTGATATTCTTTTTTACCCATTTGGGACCTTAAGGTCTTCTGGAACAATAAAGCAACATCATGGTAAAGGCAAGGCTTGCAGAGACATCATATGATGTGATACAACCAACAATTCCATCTTTGTGACCACTGCCAATTAAAATGGGCATGCCAGCAGGAACTGTCAAAACGGGTGGGTGGCAAGCTATCACCAGCATTATTCATGAAGGAACAGTTTATATCTTTACTTGGTGAATAATGAGAGTCCCCCTGCAATGACTGGACTGAAGTAAATAAATCAAATTTGTCACGTTGTGCAGTGCTAACACAGCTGGAACTCTTTAGGTTAGAATCTGCTCTCATGCCTGCAGTGGCTTTATTCCTTGACGTTTTGAAGAAGCATTAATAAATGAGACTCAATCACCTGTTGAACTAAAGTGGAAGAAGCATGTTTAGGTTAGGTTTTGTCTTCCGTATAAGCAGTCTAGCCCATTTTAGAGAACCAGGATAAATAAGCATCTATCCTATAGTGGAAGGTGCATGGAAATTAGCTCACTCACAAACAACATTCTGTTCTCCCAGTTTCCCCCCACACTCCAACCCAGAAGAAGATTCAGGATGCAGCTATGCACTAGCTTCTTAAGGGCTGGTCACTTGCTTCCTTATAAGCAAGTGGCTGTCATCTCTGTCATCAGCCCAAACCACCATCAATGGGAGCACAATGGTCAATGTACTGCACCTGTGTACAGAGCACACTGAACCCCCAAGGATTCTTAGAAACAGAAGATCTTTGTGCCTGCCCCTTCATAATGGACAGCATTTGCCTTATGTGCATGTGCTCCTTGCTCACAGTGTAGAGTGACCAATAATTAAATATAGTCTGACCATAGGCACACAAGGACAAATCCAGTCCTTAATTTTCTCTACAGCATTCTAGGGAATGAAGCAAACAAAATGCAAACTGGAATGGGGGGGGGGGCACCCAGTACTAGATTTGAATGATCAGAGTTGTGATGAGAGAAATTTATGGGGAGGAGACAATAGCTGAGGCATAGTACAATGAGGCTAAGTTGTCATTTCCTAGCTCTGTGACTTCTGTGCAGGCTGTGAGCTCAAATATGTTAAGCTGCAACCCTAAAAAAAAGTCACTAAAACAACAGGTCCTATGATGTTCTTGAATACTCACCACTGCGATGGCCTAGGGCTACAGCTAAATCCATGGAATTATATCCAGAGTCTGTTTCTATAGTTGGATCAGCACCATGCTCTATACAAAACAATGAGTAATTTATTATATTATTATTACAGTTTTAGCATGCATCTCATTGGTTAATATTGTCTTCATAATACTTACCTAGGAGTATTTTGACACATTTAACGTGGTTTCCATGCACAGCATAGAGCAAAGGTGTACCACCATTCTACAAAAGCCAAGAAAGTTTCAGGTCTCAGGATATACTCACACAGCTTAAAACCTAAATACAGGTTGCACATATGTCAGAACAGTTATTCCACTGAGCACACCAAGATACCATGGGATACCCGTCCATTCCATTGGTAGCAAAGCCGAATATGTCAGCAGAATGAACTGGTAGGATGCGATGCTCGGTTTTCAAATAGACACAGTGTGTGTGTGCAAGGAAAGAAAAGTGAAGTCATCAGTTTCTTCCCACCTTTCTAAACAGATTTACAGGTTTTTGGTGTAGTGGTTAAGTGTGCGGACTCTAATCTGGGAGAACCGGGTTTGATTCCCCACTCCTCCACTTGCACCTGCTGATGTGACCTTGGGTCAGTCACAAGCTCTGGCACAGCTGTCCTTGAAAAAGAGCAGTTTGTGTCAGAGTTCTCTCAGCCCCACCAACCTCACAGGGTGTCTGTTGGGAGGGGAAGGGAAAGGAGTTTGTAAGCCGCTCTGAGACTCCCAAGTGAAGGGCGGGGTATAAATCCAATCTCTTCTTCTTCTCTTCTTCTTCTTCCAGAATAAATTTTTATGGTTTATGGCCTACTACAGCAGACTAACATGCCTATTATTCTAGAACTGTCTCCACCTTTGGTTGCTTCATTGGATTTAATCTTTCATAGCTTGATACTGTACATGGAGAAACATGTATATGTTTGAAACAGGCCTATAAAAAGTGACTTCACCCTCAATTCCCTGTCAAATGAGGTCGAATTGGTAACACAGCAGCAGCAGAAGAGTTGGTTTTTATACTCTGCTTTTCTCTACACTAAGAAGTCTCAAAGTGGCTTACAATCACCTTCCCTTCCTCTCCCCACAGCAGTCACCTTGTGAGGTAGGTGGGACTGAGCGAGGTCTGAAAGAACCGTGACTGGCCTAGCGTCACCCAGCAGGCTTCATGTGGAGGAGTGGGGAATCAAACCCAGTTCCCCAGATTAGAGTCTTTCACTCTTAACTATTACACCATGCTGGCTCTCAAATAAATCAGATGAATGCAAACAGCAGTGCAGTAAGCAAAAGACTCACCCAGTCATACTCATTAACATCAACTCCACAGTCTAGCAGCATCTTGACGATGTCTGTATACCCTTTACTGCAAGCCAATGACAGTGCACTTTCTCGCCCCTTCCCCAGGATCTGTGGGTCTGCACCCTGAAAAACAAACATGCTTTTAAAGAGCTGTTATGTATCAGCCTCCCAAACCACACATGAAAGGAACTCCACAAGTCCACTTGTATGGCAGCAAGGTTCTGGAGATCTTACATTTCTGATGGTTTTTAAATAAAAAAAAAAGGAGTTTCCAAAAGTTTCAAAGATAATTTGTTCTACTGGCTTATTTTATATGACGCCTCAATCTGCATTGTTGCAGATGAAAACTATTGCTTCTTGGCTTTGTAAACAGTTGTTCCCCCCTTTTTTGTGAAAGTCTGAAAGATGCTGAATTGGGCTTAACCCTAAATAAATGTGTGACCTCTTAAAATGGCCCTAATCTCTTGATGCCTGGGCTGCAGCAAACTTAATACCTCTCAAAACTACCCCCCCCCGCCAATCTCAAGAATGGTCTTGTAATTGTGAAGGATGAGGCCTGATATGATTTGCCACCCAAATGCTTGGAGAACAGATTCATTCATGCATTCAGAAAGTCTGAAGCTGAGGGAGTGTGCATAGAACTTGGGCACGGGGTGGCAAATAGCTTAGAGGCTCAGCCAAAAATGAGTTGTTTGCTGGGAGAGAGAGAGAGAGAGAGAGGAGAGGAAAAAAGCAACTGCCTTTTCTGAACTTACAACACTACCCTCACTATAGCAGAAGACATAAGTATAATGTGGGGGATGTTTTCACTTACATTTTGTAGAAGAAATTCTACCACTGCTATCTGCCCATGGGCTGCAGCCCACATCAGAGGAGTAAAGCCTTCTTCGTCTGTATGGTTGATTACATTTTCTATTTGACAAAACACACAGGTCAACAGTCTTCTCACTGGGGCACATAAAGAACTCAGGTGTGGGGGTGAGGAGGCATTACTTTAGTCACTTGGAAATTCAAAACTCTTTGACTGAATTGAATACATGCGTTAATTTCTAAATCACAGTGCTGCCTGCTAACTGAATGCTCCCTTAAAACACTGGATCCTTACAGGGCACAGCCCTCAGTCTCTAAGGTAGCAACTGAAGTTTGTTCCACGTTCAAGGTGAAGCCCTGAATTTCCCAACCAATAAACAGTCACTGTATTAAGATTTTTATTTAAAAATAATTTGATAACTCTAACTCTGGATCTGATTAAACAAATTACTGCCCAGATACACAGAACACTAGCATACCCCATAGAAATCAATCCTATATGAGCATACATCGCATTCCTATTCTAGTTAAGTTGACTTAAAGGGTTATATTTCAAAGTTCTGCCAAAAAAAAGGGGGTGGAGGAAGCAGATTTCACTGAATGCCAAACCTCAAAGATTCAGGGTTTACAGCATATGGCCAGCTTATATAGATGCTCTTTCATAGGCCAATACATGACTTTACTGAATCTTCTTGGTTTATGCTCTCTAAAGATATGATGTGATGTTCCTCTGAACATGTTCTGGTAGACATTTTCACAATGGATTTTTTCCTCTTGGGGATTAAACCAAGTCTGTGGCACTGTTCTTTAGGCTGAGAGCTAGTTTGGCAGAAGATCAATCATTCATAACTCATTCTAACAACAAACAATACATCAGTTTAGTTTAGCCAGCATGTTCAAGACTGAAGAAAGGAAGAACAATTTTTAACAAGGAACCTGAAAAACAGTAGAAGCAAGATGCAGTCAAGCCTTGCATTTCAAACATATCTATAAATTCCATATACGAACTGCACAGCATATATGATTAATGTTATGTTTTATCAGACAAGGGAGGGGGAAATTAATGGTGACCACAACTAATGGAGCTGCGGTGGCTCAAGTGGTTAGGATGCTGAACTGCAGGCTGTGGAAGGTCAGTAGTTCAGCAGTTCGAGACCCGAATTGCCGCATGACGGAATGAGCTCCCATCTCTAGTTCCAGCGCCTGCCAACCTAGCAGTTTGAAAGCAAGAAATTGCAAGTAGATAAATAGGTACCACTTCGGTGGGAAGGTAACAGCATTCCGTGCACCTTGGTGTTTAGTCATGCTGGCCACATGACCACGGAAACGTCTTCAGACAGTGCTGGCTCTTCGGCTTTGAAACGGAGATGAGCACCGCAACCCTAGAGTCGGACTCGACTGGCTTTCGAGCAAGGGAGCCTTTACCTTTTTTACAACTAATGGATAGCTGTGGATCCCCCTGCCATGGTAATGCAATACAGCAGGCAGAATGTGTCAGGCTTGCTGCTGCTAGAAATAGATAGGAACAGACAAAGAGAGTAACTCCACCCACTCTGCCAGTAAATCAAGACACTGAATGCTGTGGTGCTATTGTTACCATTAGCAGGAAGGGGTAAATGTTTCTACTGTTTGGAAGCAAAGCACCTTCCTGTATGTTGCACGATTCAGCAAAAGCAAACAATATCTGGAATATCAGCTGTAACCAAGCATCATAGCACTAAGCTGAAAAGGGTTTTTTAAAAAAGTTTCATCACAAAGAAGACTAAGAGCCTAATTACACATTATGTTTTCCCTGAGGATGTCCTGGGGTCAGGTGGAGAGGGACATTCTGTGTGTGCTTATTTGGACTGGGACCATGGTGTGCTGAGGGGCGGGCTTCGACCTCTTCCTGGTGCCATTGTCCCAGCCTGCAATAGCCCAGGGGGATACTATTTGCCCTATTGGCACCTGCATATACACTGGTGAGCTACAAACTACATTTCTATGACATAGGCAAATAATCAATCCCCTTGGCCATTTGAGGTCAGGACCATGTGAAAGGAGGGAAGTCTAAGCACTCTCTTTCAGCAGCCTCAATCCAAACTGGGCCTGTGGTATGCCCGGAAGGTGCAGAAGTTCAAAATATGCCTCTCCAGCCGACCCAGGGACACTACCATTGAAAACATTTTATTTATTTATTTATTTTATTTGGCTTCTATCCCACCCTCCCCACCGCAGCAGGCTCACAGCATTATTACAACATTATTAATGATAAAACAATTTCTCACAATATTATTAATGATAAAACAATTTCTCAGTTAAAATTACAATAAATTAAATCTAAAAATCATACATGAAGTGCTAGCAATGACATACAACATGGCGGGAGTCCACAATCAATTAACGCATGGTCCGGGTCATGTCAGCAAGGCACAGGCTATTCAATGATAAGAACTTAAGAACATAAGAGAAGCCAATGTTGGATCAGGCCAATGGCCCATCTAGTCCAACACTCTGTCACACAGTGGCCAAAAATACCAGCTGCCATCAGGAGGTCCACCAGTGGGGCCAAGACCCCAAAAGCCCTCCCACTGTTGCCCCCCCCCCCAAGGACCAAGAATACTGTGCATCACTTGCCCCCGACTGAGAGTTCCTATCTACACCTTGTGGCTAATAGCCACTGATGGACTTCTGCTCCATATGCTTATCTAATTCCTTCTTGAAGCCGTTCATGCTTGTAGCTGCCATCACTTCCTGTGGCAATGAATTCCATGTGTTAATCACTCTTTGGGTGAAGAAGTACTTCCTTTTATCTGTTCTAAACCGACTGCTCAGCAATGATGTTAATGATATTATTGATGTTATTAAGATATTGATGGTATTGGGGCCAGGGCCTCAGATGGTTGCGGCGGCTCCTTAATTAAATGCTTGGTGGAAGAGCTCAGTTTTACAGGCCCTGCGGAACCGTAAAAGGTCCCGCAGGGCCATGATGTCTTCTGCGAGCTTGTTCCACCAGTATGGAGCCGCCACCGAGAAGGCCCTGGTCCTTGTTGCTGCAAGCCTGGCTTCTCTAGGGCCTGGGAGGACCAGGCAACTTTGAGTGCCTGATTGCAGTGCTCACTGGGGAACGTATGGGGAAAGGCGGTTCTTTAGGTACATAGGTCCCTGGCCATAAAGGTAAGTACCAGCCTTAAAGGTAAGTACCAGCACCTTGAACCGAATTCGGTACGCTATAGGCAGCCAGTGCAGTGCTTTTAGCGCAGGCTGGATGTGTTCCCGCATAGGGAGACCCAACAACCGCCTGGCCACCACATTCTGTACTAACTGCAGCTTCCGAATTTGGGACAAGAGCAGCCCCATGCAGAGGGCATTACAGTAGTCCAGTCTCGAGGGGACTGCAGTTTGGCTTTGACCAGAGAGCATGAAAAACACTGCTACTGTTTTAAACCTTCTGCTTTCCTAGTGCTACACATGTGAATGTTGACACACAATAGCATGTGAGAAGTCTTAATATTGTGAGCCACTGGGCAATAATGTCTGGAACGAAATGGAGAATGAATGAGAACTAGCCATACAATCAGGGCCTCCTGCAACCTAACCTATCCTGACAAGTTATCTCAGTGTCAAAGGAAAGACCCAGAAAATCCTTACCTTGTTCTATGCGTGTGGCTAGATACAACATTTCCCCTTGAGCTGCCAGCTGGTGAATGGAGAGAGCTACCAAAAGAGCAGAAGGAAAATATAGTAACACTCTTATTTAAGGAGAACCCAAATGCTGGCATCTTGTACTGTCATAACAAACTCCCCAGAATACGTTTTAAAGTCCACCACAGAAACACTTACAGTTTACAAGCAAAGGTGTTGTAGAGACTTCATTTCCTCTGTGCTTGTTAGTTAAAGTGGTGGACTGTTTTATAGGTGAAAAATGCTTCGTAGTTGATGGGGTGTAGACATGTCTGACTTGAATCCCAGGAGAAGGAGAAGTATGAATATTGCATTCAGCTAAGTGGGGGGAAGAAAAAAAGAGGTTATAGTAGCTGTCAGAATAACAAGTGGTAGAAAAGTCATATTCCAAGGATTCCATCCAAACTAAATGAGGAAACTTTTCAAAGTGAAGTTAGAGCTACTATGTCTGCATTTCTGGCTGCAAGCTAGGTAGGTGCCTTTAGGCTTAGGACAAAAGGCAAACTAAACTCCAAAGAAATAACCTGTAGTCTAAGTGTTTGTTATTTTTGCCATCAAGTCACAGCTGACTTAAAGCAACCCATGGCAAAGGTAGTTTGCCATTGCCTGCCCTCTTTGTAGCAATGCTGGTATTCCTTGGTGGTCTCCCATCCCAATAACTAACCAGGGCCAACCCTGCTTAGCTTCCAAGACCTGATGAGATTAGGCTAACGTGGGCTATCCAGGTCAGGGCTAGCATAAGTATAAATACCTGGAAATAATTGATATTAGTGGAACTTATCTTTCCATACTGAGCGTTCAGGGATCAAGATGTCAATCCTGCCTCAACAGCCTGATTTTAGAGAGATGAAGAAGAGATTGGATTTATACCCCGCTCTTCACTCCCCAAAGGTGTCTCAGAGCGGCTTACAAACTCCTTTCCCTTCCCCTCCCCACAACAGACACCCTGTGAAGTAGGTGGGGCTGAGAGAACTCTGACACAAACTGCTCTTTTTCAAGGACAGCTGTGCCAGAGCTTGTGACTGACCCAAGGTCACATCAGCAGGTGCAAGTGGAGGAGTGGGGAATCACTTTAAACATGTGTACTTAACACAAAGCACTGTGATGTTGCAGTTTTTAGTGACTGCGACACTGAACAAACTTTGAAAGTATGTGCAATTTAAAACACACTGAAATTCTTCTCCTTCACATTCCTCTCTTTCCCATTGAGAGATGGGAAGCAAGCAAGCACCAGGAACTCCTAGCTCCTCAGTTCAAGCCTCTACCAACTGACACCCCCCCCCCACTACTACCAAGGTTTTCAGAGCAATGGAGAGATTTACCAACTCAGCTGAACAGGACCCTGTGATTCCTTGGCTAAGTGCAGCTAGCCCTTGAGCATAAAAGTCCTGGGTAAAAGTCAACCTTGCAACACCTGTTCTTGGACAAAGCCAGAGCTCCCACCATTTACAGCCGGTCTTTGTCCAAAACGTGTTAGATTTAAAAGTAATCACTGTGAAACATTCTTGCCAGGTTTCCTAGAGGAAATTAATATTCACCATTTGCAATCTGGTGGCTGACTATTTTCATTGCTAAATTAAAATTCCTAGTCTCTAATGTATTCTGTGGCCAAACACACCACTGAGTTTTAAAGATATTCTATAACTGAGGAAATTGTGAAAAGTGTTTATATCCTCTTATGCATTCCTTTGTCATAACACCAATTTCCCCACTTTTTAAAATAATGAAACAAAAATCATTTTAAAATCCCAACCTTTAAATAATACAGATGCCACTTCAAGGTCAGAATTCACTTGATCTTGAATATTTTTGCTATCTTCTTCATTCAAGGACTTCACAAACCGGGAGCAGACATTCATGTCAAACCTATTAGGCAAAATGAATTTCATTCCCATAGCAACACTCTGTGCTGGTCCTTCCTCAACGCTGGAATCAAGGTGATGCTCCACTTTAATGTTTGGCATGTGAGATAGGCTGTAGCTGCTAGTGCAGTCTTCCACAATTAGCTGGGCTCCAACATCTAGATTTGATGAAGACTCCATTATCTGAAGCTTACTCTCTGTTTTCTTTTGGCTTTTTTCCTTTAGTGTATTTTCTAAACAACAAAACCAAATTCCAAATTCAGCCTGCAGCTGAACACAAAATATTAACATGTTAGAACACAATGCCACAAAACACAAAGAAACACATTCATCAAGCTGAACTGATGCAATTTTTCCTTCAAAATGCCATAGAAAATTACCACCCTGCATGCACAGAAATTTGCAAAACAGCTACTCATACTTTACACAGGCTGAAAGCCTTTTACTGTCAGACTGCTTTAAATCAGTTACTTAATTTATTTATTCAATTTGTACCCTGCCCTCCCCACAAGCAGGCTCAGGGCGGCTTACATAGTTGGTACAAAATACCAATAAAACTACATAAAATCATTTTAAAACAATTCAAAAACAAATGAATCACAAAATCATAAGGTGCTAGTAATCCTTCATTAGTTGCTTGAGGTGGCGTACTAAAGAATATCTGCAAACAGACAGTCCAGCTCAGTGGTCTTCTTGAGTCTTGAGTATAAGCCAGATGTTAAGGCTAAGGGCCAGGCTCGTTGATGGTAATAGTCAGGGCAGCTCCTACGAAAACTGAATATATGGCATTTCCAAAGCCCTTTGAAAGTAGTTCCACTGCTGGAGCAGAAAAGCCAAGAGGTGTGAAGCAGCCTGAAGAGGAAGTGGAGAACTGACTTGGGTCAGTGACCATCAGGATGGAGAAAAAGAGAGCCAGTTGTTCCTCAAGACTGAGTTTGCAGTGCCAGGACAAAATTCCATTAGCGGTAATCACAAAAGTCAACCTGACACCAGCAAGAGAAGAGAATTTGATGAAGAATCTTTGGAGAGCTTTAGCAGCATGCCAGATCCAGTGGTTCCTACGATGTGACAAAAACATTCAAACCAGAAACAGGCAGTGATACACCATTTATTCTGAAGTAGCTATATTGATATCTCAAAACGAGTCTCGCCCTCATTTTCTACTTGAGCTTTTTCATGAACTTCAGATGCTAGACATTGTCTAGAGTAAGTAGATGAAGCTGTGTTAGATCAAGTCAGATCACTAGTCTATCAAGCTTAATACTGTCCATCTGAACTAGCGGTGGATCTCCAGGGTCTCTGGCAAGTGGCCTTTCATATCACTTATTGTCTGATCCTTTAATCAAATATGTCATGGACTGGTTTTGAGACTTCTGCGTGTACTGGCAGATTTGCTACCTATGAACATATAATCCTGGAGCTTAAGTCATAATTTTAGTTAACACTGAATAACATCAGCAATGTGGCTATGGATGGCCCTAGTCTTCGGACTGGGAATGAATATTCTGAAAATGATACTGTGATCCAGAAAGTCAGTTTGGCCTATTAAAATAACTTCTGTGACTGGATTAACTGCATCATCACGTTATTTGCTGGGGTGTACATATTTCAGGGAAAAATAGCTAGGTCTTTCAAAATTTTGGCAGAACTCCTTTAGTAAGAACTGTCAGATGTTTTCTGAAAGGTTTTTCTTTTTCTCTAAAAAGGAGGGCAATTATCCATTAAAAACATACAATCTATGTTATGCCAGTGTAGTCCAGTTGTTGTTATCAAAGGCTGTTTTGATAACCATGGATTTACTATGTATCTTTCAGCAGTCAGTCACTCTCTGTCATATAGGGTGATTACAAGGATACAATGCAGGGAAGGAAGGAAGGGTGGAATAATGATAAACAGATAGACACAAATCATGACATACCCCTTACCCTGGGAAGCTACAGCCAAAAAAAAAAGTTTTGTGGCAGCTTTAAAGACTAACAAATTGATCACACCAGAAGCTTTTATACACCACTTTGTCAGAATTCAATAAACAGATAAACATGCTAATAGAGCGGGGGGGGGGGGGCACCCGTCCCTTGTGTAGCGGCGGCGAAACGGTAAATGGCGGTGGCGGAAAGAATATGGCGGCTGGCAAGGCGAACGTAGGCGGAGTGGAGGCGATGCAGGCCGGAGCCTACTTGGACGGAGGCCGCAAGCATGCGTGGAAGTGCAAGTGGTCCAGGCCCGGAAATGAATTCGCAACAGCCAGAAGGAGGAACCTCAAAGACCAGTGCTGGAGTGGACGCCGCCGGACTACCTCCCGCAAGGCAGTAACAACAAAGATCCGCTATACAGAAAAGGGTGCCTGGTAGGCTTGTCACATCCCCTACATGTATGTGGCCCTAGGTTTAGGATTGTATGAATTGAAACTTGTAAGCCGCTCAGAGCCCTTCGGGGGTGAGCGGGATATAAATTGAAATATAAATAAAATAAAAATGAAACAAATTAGGGGGTTAGAGCTTTAGGGAAGGAGTCTGGAATTGCTTCATAAGGGCTCAGCTCTCCCACACTCTAAACTAAAAGAGAACCTCAAGCAACAAACCAGAGGAGAGAGAATGAAGCCTACCATTTACTTATTTATAATATTTCTATATCACCTCTTCAAAGCCCTGCTTGAAGCAACTTACAGTTAAAACCCGCAGTGTTGTTTTTTTTTAAAAGGCCATTATGCACATATGCTGCAGAAAAATTATCCATACAACAAAAGAGAGTAAAGTAGGTGTCTGGCAAGCGTCAAGAGGGGGAAGGTGTTTCAGAGGCAACATCCCGCCGCATAGAAAGCCCTCTCTCCCTGGTCACCACACGCCTCGCCTCTGCAGGCAAGAGCACGGGGAGCAAGGCTGCAGAAGCAGATTTTCACGGGCAGCCCCGGCTACGACGGGAGGAGGAGACGGACCTTCCACTCGACGGACACTGCGTCTCCGCCCCCACACCGGCATCTCATCTTCCACCCGCTACGCACCTTTTACCGCCGCAGCCACGCCTCAGTGAGCGCCAGTGTTACTATGACGGCGACATTATTGTTGTTGCTATTAGTTCACGTCATGACGCTATTTCCGCTCAAATCACAGGCCCAACCCGGAACGAAACATCAAAGCGATCTACGCTATACCCACCTTGCCAAATAAGTCAGCCGGGGAACGGCTAGCGTTACATTTTACGTCACCATAAACGCTCCTCCCCTTCTGCTGATCGTCCATAGGTGGGGAGGGAAAGATCCTAGGCCGAGTGAAGCCATAGCAACAGCGATTGAACGTGTCGGGGATAACAAATTTAAATGGACTCCACAGGCTGCCGTAGAAGCCTTTCCTCTTTGCGTGACGTTTCTTGCCCAGGAGATGGCGGTGCTGAATTCGACACTGGAATGGACTCAGTAGAACGCTGACCTTTTCTCTGTCTATGGGAAGGAAAACGTCATTCTAGCGCGCGCGCTGAAAGATGTTGGCGCAGCACTTGTGACGAATGTAATGACGTGTTCCCTCTCCCTGAAGGTTGGCCGTGGTGATGGCGGCTTCCTGGCGGAGCAACGTGACTGTTGATGGCTGAAGAAGGAAAGTAGTGTGGAGTTCGGGGGTAAGTAAGGAGTCCAGTGGGGCGACACGGAGGGCGGATGGCTGTAGTAGCCTCCACTTTCCTCTTATTCTCTGAAGCTCAGTGCTTGGATTTTAGCCGGCCGGCAGTGGCCCTTTTTCCTGTAACAGAAAGAATTCGTCCTTTGTATACACTGTAAGAAGAGCCCTGCTGGATCAGACCGAGGATTCATCTTAATCCAGTGTGCTGTTAACGACAGTGGCCGGCTGGCGGGGAGTGAAGAATTCCACTTCCTTACACTGAATGTGTGTTTAATGTTAGCCTTTTCTCATGCCGCATCTCCCCAATTCCATTGTATTCTCTTTTCCGCATATTTTAAAGCTGTATTATTCCAGCTCTGCCGCACTGTCATTCTAAATGTAGTCAAATAAGTTTGTATGAAGGTGTTATACTGCTAGTGGATGTGCAGACATACTGAGTATGTCAACCATGAACCTGAGATCCCTTTCCTGTTTTAGTCTCTGCTAGTTCAAACCCCATGGCCTGTAGCAGGGTGTTAGGCTTCTTTGCTGTTTGTATTCTGCAGAATTTGTGCAAACTCCTACTGGTACTTGGTGCTATTGGCTAGAATAGGATTGCCTGAGAACAAGCTCGTCTTTGAGGTATGCAGTTTTAAGTATACTTACAAGAGGTTGTTGTTAACAGAGTTGTTCAGTGATAGAGCCAATGCCAATTAGTTATCCCCAACTTTTATTCCATATATTTTTTGCTTATGCAAACAGTGATTCCTTTCCTACTGAATATTCCTTAGCCTTCAGTCCTGCAGGTACTTTGACAGTACAGAATATTGGGAATCAGTTTATATGTGCACTGGTGCTAACACATTGAAATAATGATCTTAAGTTGAACTATGTGCTGTTCTTCATTTTGCTTTAGATGTAGAAAATAAATGTTGCAGCTGTATAATTGTAATGCATACTGCTTGCTATTTTCCTTGTTATTATTTATTGAGTGTTATAGACTGCCCGTCTCACTTGGACTTGAGGGAGATCAGAAAGTACAAAAAACAGTTCAGTCTGACAGCAAAATCTCCAATAAGCAACACAGTAGGATTAGGATCACAGAACTGAAAAAACAGTGCAAATGAAAATCAGTCTAAGGCATGACATACCATAATGAAGAAAGGGAGTTTCAGAGATAGAGGATATTGAAGCAAAAAGGGATATAATGCATACATTAAACTATGAAATAGACTGTATTATACTATCTCTTGGTGATTTCGTGTATCGTTTTATTACCATTCTAATCCCTTTGTAAAAATGCTCTCATGAGCATTTCTGTTTTGTCCATTTTGTCAGATCATAGAAGCAAAGGAACCTTCCTGATCATCTCAGGCTAGCTGTTCCATGGAGTGGGGGAGCCACCACACAGGATGTGCCTGAAGAAGCAGTTGTCAGTTTTATCCTTTTGCCAGGGTGGCACCTTCAGGAAGCATTGCTCAGATGAGGAAAGTGGCCACAGTGGGATATCATAGCAAGCGAAGCAGTTTTACTCAAAATAAGGGAACATACATTGGTATACAGCTGTAACAAATAACGTGTGAATTAGTTGAGGGTTAACAATACATACTTAAGTTAATATGGTGGGTAGATTTAATTATTTGATGTATCCTTGTAATTTCAGCATTTTTGTTTTCCCAAGAGGCTGATATACTTGAAACATAATACCTTTCTGCCTGAGGAAACAGTATTTAAAGGAGTAATGGCTAACTACAAACCTGTCATAGTACAGAGTTATCCAAAACTTGGTGAAAAAGTAACAGAGGATACTTTATACTGGAAGAATTACAAGGTAAGAATGCATAGTTTATTTATTTATTACTTTAATTTTTACCCCGCTCTCCCTGCCAAGGCAGGCTCTGGGCGGCTTGCATAAAACCCAATAAAAACAATATACATCTCAGTATAAAATACACAATGAACAATTTAAACTGTTAATATGTTAATAGAGGTCCAGATATGGTAAAATGCGTTTAAAATTGTTGGGTTTAGAACAGGGTTATATCTTCATTGACTTGAAAACATGAGGTATTTTGACTTGATTTTTGATGTTGCAAGATGTCAAATACTTAAGTCAGGTTAGCATTTGACTAGTGCATTTCGTCTACAGGACAGTATTTGAGTTTTTTAAAATTTAAAGTTGATATGCCTTTTATTTTAAGTGGTGTTGTAGTGGATGTGCATCTTTTTACAGTACTAATAGTGCCCTCCTAAGAAGAGTTATACCCTTCCAAGGCCAATTCTGCTTAGGAGTGTACCATAAAAGCCAAACCATTTTTAAAAAATCAACAAGCTTTTTAAAATAAGTGAGCTTTTGAAATCTAAAACACTTGAGAAGATGTTTGTGCTTCTTTCACATTTTTGTAAATATTGTGCTAGTGAAAAAAAATTCAAAGGTTAACTGTGTAAAAATTGTGCTCCCCTTTTTCCAGGCTCCCATTCAAATAAAGGAGTTTGGTGCAGTGAATAAAATTGACTTTTCTCCGGTCCAGCCATACAATTATGCTGTAACAGCCTCCTCTAGGGTAAGGATTTAAGATGAAGGAATAAACTGCAACTTGCTGATGTGGCTACAGAAAACAAAGGCAGGCATCTGGAAAGGGACCTATGGGACAGAATGATTAATCCATCAGAAAAGAGAGTCTTTATGGAAGTAGGTTTTATAGAATCATCTGTGTCAAAGTGGGTCTGTCTCTATCATTGGGTTATGTTGTCAGAACCCAGGACAGAACCATGCAGTTCAACTCAGACTGGGCCTCCATGGCTCACGTTAAGTCCTGTGGATCAAAGTGAAATGGGGTGACAAATACCAAGGGTGTTGAGGAAGGACCCAGCCAAGTTCTAGGCCTGGGGCAGCCCAAATCCTCAGTAGTGTGGCTCAGCACAAACCTTTATTTTCTCCCATAGAAGTGAATGGTCACCTGTTATCCTAAGGGGGGGGAGAGTAAAATACTACTCTTAGGGGCATCCTTTCCCTCCCTCTCCCTTTACCCACCCTAGCACAGGTGGCTCACTTTCCTCGAGAGTGGTCCTGTG